GTAGAGGTGGCATTTGTAGTGTCATTCGTGTCAATGGTACCATTCACAAGCCACCAAGGCTCATAACCTGTTAGAACAGGGAGTTTGGAATAGCACTTTGATATATGCACATATATGCACACCCTTATATACTAGATACATTGTGCTATACTAGTAAATAGGACGTATATTAGATTACACTCTGGATTAGGAAATCCCCAATTGCCTTATGTAGAATTACTGTACTTGGAATGTCTCAGATTATCAGACTTCACTATGTAGTATATAAGGTAGATACTTGCTTGATGTCTCAATAAGAGAGAGTACTTGGGGCACTCCTGCTACACTTGTTAAAAGGTTATGAGCCTTAGTGCCCATTGATTGCCCCTATACACTCACTCTCACAGAACACCTTTGCCTCCTGCCAGACCACCAAGCCCAAGACCTCCCTCTCCCCCCAAACTCATTACAATGTTGTCTATGATGCATACCTTTGTTAATACTACAATGAAGGACTCTGACATTACAAAGTTCTTTGAGGGAACAGAAAAGTTGGCTGGTGTGAAGGGATACAAGATATGGTGCTTGTGCATACACAGTGCACTCACTGCCATGATGCTCTTAGACCATCTAGAGCACAATCCCCCTTCCTCTAATGATGCTGGCATACATACAGGCAACGTTTTGTATCATTGTATAACAAAAACAATAACTGATACAATTTATGTGAACTTCACAACACATACAAGCATTAGAAGTCTCATAAAGGCACTTTCTGAATGATACAATGTTCAAACAACAATGACACATGCTGTAGACATATCCACATTGTTTACAGTAAAAGGGTATGTAACACAGTTTGATAAGATGTTAGACAACATTGAACAAATCTACAGGCAGTTGTCTGTACATAATAAAGCCCCCAATAACAATACATACATCTCAGCAATTAATCTCACTACTCCTTGTGAGTATAGATGGGTAGCAACAATGCTAGACAGGCAGATTACCTATTATAATCAACTACCAACAGTTACAGCAGCTCAGAAAGACATTCTGACACTAGCTAAGCTGATACATGAATTACAAAATGTATATACTGAGTATCATTCTCAGTACTCTCAAACAAAACAAGATACTGAATGAGACAGCCTACAAACAAAAGGCAAAAGTGTAGCTAAAGGCAAAACAAAGTCTTACAATAAAGTTAAATGCTACAACTGTAACAAGTACAGGTATATGTCAAAAGACTGCTGAAATCCTCTAACAAGCAAAACAACAGAAGCTCAAAAGAAAAAGCATAGGCAAACAGCTACTACTTCTACTACTGCTACTACACTGTCTCAACCTGTACTTAATACAGCAGTATTCATTGGAGACAATAACAAAACAGTATTCATTGAAGATGTTAATGAAACACTGATGCTAGAGTCTACAATAGTAGAAGCCTCAGCATCAAGTTCCAGCAGCTTACCTGTTCAATCCACTTTATCCACTGAATCCAATGTATTTTCAGCATTCAAAGTACAAGAAGAAGGTGTCATACAAGTAGACAATTTCATGAACTCATTTGACAATGTAAAAGAAGTCATTGAAGAGTTCAATTACAATCCAAACGTATGTATCAACACAATACATTACAATGA